TTGTAACATGTTAGTGTAAGTCTCACATTTCACCTGCATTGGGGGAGGAAAAGAATAGAAGTAGCTAGAGGTGAACAACATGAAGCAACAAAAATGATACTAGGCCCAACACTTAAAGGAAGATCGAGTCCTTCTACTCTTAAAGAATATAAGTACGTAGTCAGAGATAAACAACATGAAGCAAACAAATAAATAAATAACCATTAGATTAAACTTTCTATAGCTCATTTAGAGCATCTTCAATGCTCCTTTTATATTAAGATTTATCTCTATAATAAATAAGTTTGGTCCAAATTCTATCTCCAATACTCTCTTTATCATAATCTCTATCTTTAAAAATAAGATACGAGTGTTTTTGGCTCTTTAATACTAGAGAGTCCAAATGACTCTTTATCTTATATTTCATGAATGAAAATTACTATTTACTATGTCACTTAGTCTTTTTATCAATCGGACGGAGAGAGATTAATAGAAAAAAAAATTTCAGAATTAAATATTTTATGAATTTTGTCAAAATAAAAAATTAAAGTAAAGAGTAGCATTAGAGAGGACATTGATCTTCAATCTATATAATTAATGATGTTCTCTATTTACATTAAAAATGTCAGCTAAAAATAGGAAGTACCATTAGAGATGCTTCTAGTTGTTAGGCATTAGATTAAACTTGTATCATAATTAGTGAGTAGATCAAGTTTATTCAAACATGCCTCTTATTATTGTATCATATATCAATAAAAAAACCAATATGTATGTGTAAATCTCAAAATAACTATACCATTCCATCTTGAAAGAAATTTTGACAATAAAATGGGCTTTAAAATTTTGAATGTCATCTCCTAAGATCACTCTCTAGAATTGAATATACTCTTGTTTTCAACCATATTTAAAAATATTATTATTGTCTCAATTCTATGTGTTGCTATGTGTTAGGAAACGAATCGAGCAAAAATATTAAATAGATAAACAAAAAACAATCACATAATATAATGATTTATGTAGTTTGACAAGTATTTTTACTCTACGAATGCACTAGGAGTTTTTACTCTACGAATGCACTAGGAGTTTTTAATAGGATTTTTTAATTGATGACTTACAAATATAAAAAATGTTGTATTTATTTATAGTGTAAAAAATTAGAATTATAAAAACCTTAACGGGCCTATAAATTTAATTAACAAGATTATTATCGTGGTAGTTCTGTACAGCATACTAAATTATATATCATATTTTTTTTTTATAAAAAAAGCATCATCTCCAGCATTAAAAAAAAAGGGCATAATCTCCTACTGTTTGACTCAAACACATCAAAACCAACTAAAATCTTGTGGTATACAAATCAACGAAAGGACTAGTCAAATGATGCGATAAATATAAAATATATTGTATCTATTTATAAGCGTGGGCAATTAAAATTATAAAAATCTAACAAGATTATTGTTATACTGATTCTTAATAGCATATAAAATTGTAGATCATATCTAAAAAAAAAAAAAAACGCAATCATCTCCTGCCGATGATCTAGCACCACTCCTTTAAAGTCAAATTGTTTGATTCAATTATATCAAAGCTAACTAAAATCTTACGGTATACAAATCAACGAGAGGACTAGTCAAATGATGCCCCACATTGTGACATGAAAGAGAGAGTTGCTAGTCTAAGATCCTAATTAATTTTCACGTGAAGTAGGAACAAAAAAAAAAAAAAACAACAAAGTCAAAGTCACCTTTTTAGGTTATCTGGGTGTGAACTTGACAGATCAAAAGAAAAGACAGACAACGGGCGTTAATGTTTGTATTCATTCGTTCCACCTTATGAAATCGTTCAAAAAAGAGTCCATACGTCAAATATTTATATTTTAAAACGCATTAATATATAGATTCATGAAAGATATAAGTACTATAAAAAATGGCTCAAAATTATTGAACTTTTTTATTTAGAAAAATCTTCTCTTAGCTTGCCCATGCATGCATGTCTACTTGAGATTCGGCCGGGTGGCTCATATAAATTAGAACTTCAATGTTGTTTTCCTTTTTCTTTTATCTTCTTGAGATGGAATTTCGTTGCTTGTTCAGGAAAAAGCATAAATATGATCAACCAATAATATATTGGAAGATATGTATTGTAATTAATATTACTTCCAACAACCTCAGTCTGGTCATTTGCAAGCTAATATATATTTTAGAGAGGAAATCATTTGATCATGATTTTAGTCACCTTGTAAAGAAGCCTTCGTTAGCTTCGAAAACTTGGATTGTGAACTATAGTTTTAATAGAGAGGCTTAATGAGCTTTGGCTATATAATTATATAGCTTGCTTCCAGTTCATTATTATTTATTATAGTAAAAATATTAAAGAGTAATATAAAATTATTTATGAAACGCCATTAACAATTTAAATTATTAAATTGATATAGTTTTTTAATATAGTATCGTAGTATTGATAACCATGTTAAAATGCATGTATCATATTGAATAGTTAAAGAAAAGATGAGTAATATATAAGGTTGAGAAAAGATCTCATTCTAGAGTTCAAACCACTTGACAAATCTCAAAAGATGGGTTGTAAGTGAGAGAAAATGTTAGAACACATATCACATATTGAATAATAATAAAAAAAAAGAGTAATATATAAAGTTGAGAAAAGACCATTCAAGCACAAGAGTTAAGTTTTTTGAATGAAACTCAATCTCTAATGTCTAATTTTATAAATCGAATGGTCATGAGTTCAAATATTACCATCATAATCCTCTTTTATTAAAAATAAATAATTAACCATAATGTAGTGGTGGACTAGTGCAAACCTAATTGAGTCACTTTTAACCTTTGAGTATTGTTAAATTTTTCATTTTTCATTTTGTTAAGATTTTTAAACTAAATTTTGATTTTTTAGATTAAAAAATTTGCTAAAAATATAAATTAAAAACTTAATAAATGTTCAAAATTAAAATTGATTAAATTAATAATATATTAAAAAATTACCTTATTATATAATGATAAATTAAGCTATTAACCTAGAAGTTTATGACAATTGGTGTTTTTAGTGATTCTATCATAGTAAGAATATATTTTAATTGACTATGCATTCCAATCACAAGAAAGGAAAAACTCAGTTTTGCTCATTCAAATCGTATGGATGGTCTTGATCTTTGACTAAATGTAATGGAAGATGAACCCATAGTCAAATAAAACGATGTTTTCTCAATTTTTCCTTTGAAAGATATGGGTTTACAAAATCAAAACCAAGAAAAAGACTCAGCTATGTTGGATTACAAGTCCAAAAGCAATAGAAAGGCCCAATATACTATATACCATTCTTCTAAACCATCTTCAAATAAATATCCACTCCCTTACAAAAATCTAAACTTCAAGAAAATTATGATCCATTGTATCATGACGTTAATTTGAGATCTAATGGTGTATATTCTGCTTCAAGTTTTTTCTTGAAGTTTTTTTCCCCCTAAAATGTTTTAATCCATGGGTTGAGTTTTAGGCTTAATACTGATAGGATAACTTGTGTTATGAGGCCTGGGCTTTGTCCCTTTTTCTGGGTCTAAATTGAATATTGATCCGGCATGGGCTTAGTAATTTGTTTCAGCTTGAATGTGAATTAACTTTTGGGTGAAAAAAAAAAAAAAAATAGCAAGTAGGGCTTTGTCCCTTTATTTTGTGTCTAGATTGATTATTTTTTAAAAAAAATAATACTATATAGACAATGCAATTATTAAAGAAAGAATTTTAGATTTTAGATTTTTGTATAAATAAAACATTAAGAGAATGTATTAAATGGAATCATTTGAAAACCAAATCTATGTTAAATAATTTTGTGGTAAAATATAACAATAATGATGAAAACACTAAAAAGTATATATAATAAAAAAAAATCAAATAAAATTCTCAATTTTATATATTACTTTTCTATTGTTTATTTATTTATTTAAAATGGTATATGTTCTCTAACAGTTAGGTTTGAATTCATTGTTCACCAATCCTAAAGTTAAATAAATTCAAATAAGAAAATAAAAGCTAAAAAATTTGTAGAACTAATCATTATCATATTTTTCAGCAATTTAACTACGGAAAACATCCACATAAACATTAATTGTAAATAAAAAGTGACACAAAGTACAATTATCTAGAAATTTAAAAAATATATATATCATTTATTGATTTAGTGTTTAAGAAAACAATGCAAATCATCTGCAGAGCACATGACATAACTCCTAGTTGTTAAAAATAAATAAATACATAAAATGGACTAATAAATGGATATGGGCCAAGTATGACGTAGAAGGTATAGCCCATGCAAAGAAATAAAGAAGGGCCAAGTAATGGACAAAGTCATTTTTAGTGGGTAGGGTATGTCTTTGGCCCATGGAATTGATGCCTAACCTATTGACATCCCTAATACCTGATCTGATAACTCATGAAGGTTCAAAATCATTAAAGATTAGATACTGGCGCAGTTGCATGGAGGTGAAACGGAGAAAACAAAACAAGTTTGAAGTTTATGATTCAAAGAAGATAAAGATGAGGACAGAATGAGCAACCTGCATATATTCAAGAACCAATGTGCATGGAATTAAACGTTTTATATATATATATATATATATATATATATATGTTATTATGAAATTGATATTGACAGCAATGACATAAAATTTGGTAGCTTGCAATACAGCCCAAAATGTGAATAAAACAAGTCACATTACAAAGAGAGGCACAAATCTCCACCAGAAAACAAATTCGTCTTGTACAAACATGACATGAAGTTTCTCATCTTAAAATAAAAATAAATAGTAACATTGATATTTAGGAGAACAATTACAATTATTCTGAACTTATTTGAAATCCCATGACTTGAAATTTTTTGGACAATATGACTTGAAAACCAAACTGACAAACTCTTAATTGACAATTACAATTAACAGTTATTATTTAGACTAGGAGGAGATTAATACTTTTTCATAGCAAGTGGCCTATATCCCTCGCAATTTTAGAACACTAAGCAGCGGGTTTTGACACATCCGATTGGGATTTAGCTGCTTTAGCTGCTGCAAGTCCTCCATTCCACATTCTCTCATTGAAAGCTCTACAGGTAGATTTTTTATATACAGCCGGATGATCATTGTCGATCAACTCCTTCGCCGGCCCTATTACTGTATCCGATGATGAGTAGTAGAACGAAGGGATAGATATTCTCTCTTTATCGCAGTTTACAACGACACGGTGAAGTACGCTTTTGTAGCGATCGTTGCTAAGTACCTAATCAAAGCATCAAGTAACAAGAAAATAAATCAATTTTAATGACTTTTTTTTTAATTTCTTATGGAACACATAATTCAAATGGCATGATTAGAGGGGAAAAAAAGATTAGTTCACCTGAATTTGATCACCAATATTGACGACGAAAGTGTTGGGAATAGGACTAACATTGACCCACTTGCCATTTTTGAGGACTTGGAGTCCAGGAACATCATCAATCAAAAGAATAGTGATAATGCTAGGGTCAGTGTGGCCAGGCAATCCGAAAGTTTGCTCTGGCTGTGGACAAGGTGGATAGTAGTTCATGGCTATCCCTTGGCCATGCATGCTCAACGTCTTGTCTATATATTCTCTTTCCAGGCCTAAGCTCTCCGATATGGCTTCAAGCAGTGCAAATTCCAGCCCTCTAATACTCGTGCCATACTTAGCCACATCCTCCCTGTCAATAGTAACTTATCAATTGAGTAAAAAGGATGAAAAGAAAGAAGCGACAAACGGTTTAATTAATATATTCTATAATTATGTATTTACTTTAACGATGGAGGATTTGCTGGCCATTCATGCTCGTAATCTTCTATAGGATAACTATGAAACTTCAAGGATTCTCTCCACACGAAGACTTTCTGGTTCTTATCGTTAAAACCAGTAGTCAGTCTGATGGTCTTGGTAGGGTCATTAGATTGGAATTTCAATTTTTCATCATTTGGCAACTTGAAGAACTTCATTGCTGTACTTAGTATGTTACTAATCGTTGCCTCTGGAATTCCATGATTCTTCACCTGGCAATATGACAGATACTTTTAGAACAAGATTCCTAACATATGATCATAAAAGCAACATGGTCTTATATTAATAATTGATAAATAAAAACAATGCAATATATATTAGATTATTACCATAAAGAAACCATATTCTTCGCATGCTTGGCCAATCTGGTTGATAATGTGAGACCGGTTAGGACCGTCGAGGCCATCAAGATCAATGAGAGGAATGGAGTCATCTGATGTATCAAGCTCTGAGAGTTTTGGGAGATCAAAGATAGGATTAATGTCATTGGATGGAACACCTTTGACGTCCGAGATTAAAAGGGAAGATAGCACCTTATTAGAGTACATCATTGTTAAAGCTAAATAATTTGTTGGGATGTTTTTATTCTATGACTTGTGGGTTTGATGAACTGATTACGTTTTATTATATATGATGTTCTTATGACCCTATTTAAAGCAAGAAACGAATGCAAGAAATGACAAAAGATTGGAATCAAGTTTGGCGGAAATAGAGAGAATAGTTGAAGAATTTGGGAAGTGAAATTGCCAAGTTTTCTGTCCAAATGCAATTAGTACAAAAAATGGAATTAATTGTAATGCTTAGCATGGTGGGATCTTGGCCTTACTAGGGGTAATATTGTTCATTAGCTAATTGTTTTCTGTTGTAATTATTTGTGCTGCCTCGGAGGATTCTATGTGCCGAATAAGCTCAAGGAATCGTTAATTTGAGGAAATATTATTTGTTAATCGTTGCACTAGTAACATTATATTAGTCAAATTTGAGTGTAGATTTGGCGTAAGGTATAGATTTAAGAAAATTTAATGCCATTTTCATCTTTTTAAATCTGACTATTTTATATGAAAGTAATAGCTCTTGTTCTTCACATAGAATCCCCTCTCTTTAGTGGACTATTAGGCCCACTTTGATTCGAGAAATTCAGAAAATTTGGGCTATTGATGGTATTTTCAAGTTTTAGTGAAGAAAAAGCCTGTTAGTGTTAATAGCATCTTGGAGTAACTTTAGGAAGTTCCAAGTTCAAGTTCTTCAGAGGGATATGAATGCCAGTACCAACTAAGTTAGAGTTTATTGGTGAAAAAAAGTTTGAATCGGATACTGGATGAGATGAAATTCTTTATAGACAATACGTTTAATTTATTTATCGATTTAATGTTAAAGATATCTAAATTTGTACATCAATTAAAATTAAATTTTATTTTCAAATAATCTAAACACTCTAAAGATTATATAAATCAGATACGATAAATTAAAAAAGTAAATTTTATTGGGTTTGATAATAAGATTCGAATTCTACGAAACAAATATTTTTCCACTTCCATACATATTTTATGCAGTAAAATGATGCCTTTCTAAAGGGAACTTGTTAGTTAATATCAAGAACTTGTGGTGATTTTAGGCACTGGGACCGAATTGAGTAATTCTAATAGATTGGAGATCCAATTGAAAACAACTCTTTTAGGACTCCATTGAAAATCAACGTATAGTTGGAGAACTAATTTGAGATTTTTTGAATTAACAGTCATTGAATCACAGGGGTGCCTTGGCTTTCTGCATTAGCAGAGATTTCCTTTCAGTTTGTGTCATGCCTAAGATAAATAATATGGACAAGAATTCCTGAGGCTGATACGGTAAATAACCAGCGATATTTGTTACGTGTTGATCTTTTTCAGCGTGACAATGTTTTAGAATGAGAAAAGGCTGTCTGGCACAGCTAAGAGGGACACAATCTTGGCAGAGACGATTGCCAGGAAATTATTCTATGAATGTTGTTCACCATCTAACATTATAAAATAATGTAAAAGGAAGTATGTATCATCCCATTTATCTACATTTTAGAATACAATAATTTTACAATAATGTAAATATTTTTTTATGTTGCCAGCTCAGCCCAGTCGTGTCTGCTTTTGCAGGCCTGCAGGTCTAGAGGCACAGGCTTGCTTATATATATATATATATATATACTTAAATTTTTGGATTGATTCATAAAAATTTATTAACTTTTTTAAATGTATTAAACTATATAAAATGTGGATTCTTAAGATCATTTGGATTGAGACTTTAGTCTTCACAAACTAATCCTAAAATTAATATCCTTACTTTTGCATAAAGGAAAGGGATGATATATCTCATTCAAATCCCAGCTTTGTTAAAACTCTAACAGAACTTAAATAAATACAAGATAAAAAAAAAAAAAGCATCCTTCCACTAAAATTACAAAGAAACAAAACATAAATAAATAAAAGAAGGAAACCAAGAATATGACAAAAGAGAAATATGTCTACCAAGAGAAAAAAAAATTACGCCTTTAGATAATTCTAAACGTGGAAGGCATTATAAGTTTAAAATAAATATTTGATAAAAATAAAAAAGTTTAAGTATAAAAGTATAAAAAAAAAAAAAAGAAGTCAATATTTCTATAATGTTTTGCACTCACCATGCATATTTTATGCAATAAAATGAAATTGCAAATATTACAAATATTATTTTTAAATTTTCAAACTTTTGTTGTGATTTTGGTTGTCTAATACATTGAAATTACAAATATTACGTTTACATTTTACACAAGGAAAAGAAAACAATATTTTGAAAATTATGTATTTGTTGCTGGAAACAAATATATTTGTTATGTATCTATATGCACACATGGAGAGAGATTTTTATCTTTAAAACGAAAAGGACTGAATTGAATAAATTAAAAACTAGAAGGACTTAAAATTCATATAGTATTGAAAACTTTAAAATCCTAGAGCTGTCTCCGAAATGATCCGCCACTGGTGAGATCGATCCTGCATGGAGAGGAATGTTTCAGAAAAGTTCAATTTAAGTTCCTATATGTTTAAAAGGTGTCATTTAGTCCTTTTGTAACAATTTATTTAAGCAATTATTGATTATGGTCAATTGACAAACATTTTATTGATTTTCCAGGACCGAATTTAGTCATTATCCAGGAAATTCGACAAGATGTCGTAACATCAGATTAAAGGAAAAGGCAATGCCTTTCATTTTTCAATAAAATTTTTGGATATGTGACATGAATTCGAAAGGGGAGGAGGAAGTGATGGTCGACGCTCTCTAGAATTTTTGATGATTTTTTTGTGGTAAATTTAAGTCTATGATATTTGTTAATTTTCAACATTTGTCACCTTGAAAAACGTTGAGATTTTTTTCTTTTAGGATAAAAGTTTTCTCAAGCGATGTTTTGTATATTAAGATTAAATTCTTCTTCTATTAAGGCTTAAGCAATAAAATTTCAGGGAATGATAATTCGAGTAATTATTAAAAAAAAAAAAAGGTGAGACCCAAAAAGCATTGGGTTACCTAAATAATATTTTTTTATTATTTTTTAAACACTAATGCGGTTTGTAAGCTTTTAACCTAATTTTAAGTTGTCAAAAGTTTCAAATTGGGCCTAATTTGCTCCAATTAAATACAACTTGTTTTAGTATTTTAGGTATAAAAAATTAATAGGATGATGGATAAACAATTCTAGTTAGCTGAATTACTGGATCAGGTCAAACAAATTTAGATATAAGAATAAAAAATTCAGATCGGACAGAGGAAAAAAAAATCTAGAAGTCGTGAGATTCATCCTGCTTTATCCTATACAAAATGCTATAAAAACAAATAACATTCATTGAATTTCTAGTTCACCTCATACCAAATCGTCTTAATCTCCTTTTCTAGTACACCAAGGGCAGGATTCGAATTCATGTCCTTTCCTTACAAGTGCCTTACACAAGTTACAATAAACAAAAACATAAGTTGGAAAATTTTATTCAATTTCTAGTTCACCTCCTACTATGTGGTCTGAATTCCATTTGCTAATTGCTAAACATAAAAGATGGAAGTACTGTCAATGAATTATTGGATTCATGAAGTTTTATTACAGCAACACATGAAAAGTGCATGTGTCTGAACTCAGCATCACCTCTGAATTTGGGATCATTCACATAATGCTAAACAACAGAAGATTTGAAGAGGTCCAAGCTGCATTTAGTTGTAAGTGTTAAAGAATAATATAAATCATATCATGGAACCTCATTCAACGAGCTTAAGTTTTTGGATGAGATAGTCTTTTGACATGGTATTAGAGCCTTGATGATCAAACGGCCGCGAGTTCAAATCCTATCATTCCCGCTTTCTCTTCTAATTAATTAAGCACAAGGTAACGTTAGCATGTACAAGTTTCAAGCCCAAAAAGCTTTCACTTGAAGAGGTGTGTTAGAGAATAATATAAATCATATCGTGGAGCTTTACTTAACAACTTAAGTTTTTGGGTGAGATGGTCATTACTTGGATCATCTTCGTCAATTAACTTCGTAGTAAGCCTTATTATAGCATCAAGAGATGGAAAGTAAAATGTAAGGATAGATAGTCGTTCTTTGTCACAGATTTATCAAAACGAATCATTAATGGATATATTTTCTTATATATGAGATTATAAAAAGAATATGAAATTAATTCACTTGCATTTGGTCACCGACTTGATGACGAAGGTGTTGGGAATAGACTTGACTACTCGTTAAAGAATAATATAAATCATATCTTGAGTCTCACCTAATAGCTCATCCCTCGACATGATATCGGAATCTTAATGATCAAACGATCACGAGTTTGAATCCTACCACCTTCACTTTTTTTTTAATTAATTAAGCACAAGGTAGTATGTTGGGTTTGTATAAATTTCAAGTCCAAATGACCTTACCTAATAGCTTAAGCTTTTTGATGAAATGATTATTTGACAACTACCATCCATTAATTTGTCGCTTTTGAGAACTTGCAATCCAGCCACTTCATTTGGTAGAAGAATATTGGTCATGGTAGGATCAGTGTGGCCCGGCACTCCAAAAGTAAGCTCTGGTTGAGGACAAGGTGGATACTAGTTCATAGCCACATGCTGGCCATGCTTGCCCAATGCCTTATCTATATAATCTTTTTACAGCCCTAAGCTCTCTGAGATGGCCTCTAGCAGTCTTAACACAAGCTCTTTAACACTAGTGCAATATTCACCCTTTTCCTTCCTGTCAACCATCGAAAAAATTTCCCGATTCATCAAAAATAAATTCAAAAAAATTCGAGTATATATTTTTTATGAGGCATACAAATTTCAGTAGTGACATTATAGTATCAAAACTAACTTCAGTATTAATTTTGTTTTACTATTTACAAGTAGTGGAATATCCGTCTTGGGTTTATTCGTGTTAGGTCATTTAACCTGAAGGATGGAGGATTTGAAGGCCATTCATGTACATAATCTTCTAAAGTATTGGAATGGAATCTCAAGTAATCTCTCCAAATGGAGATTTTTCAGTTTTAACATTAAAACTAGTCGACAATCTGATCCTCTTCTTAGGATCATCAGAGTAATATTTCATCCTTTCATTCTCTGGCAACTTGAAGAACTCCCTTGCCACAAGTAGTGATTATTCATCATCTTCTCGGAAACTACATGGTTCTTCACCTGAAAACTGACATATATATGTTGGCAGGACAAGATCTCTTAGCATTTACGTAAGTAACATCAAGGCCACTATTTACAATCGTTCGGTTCATGATACACATAAAATAAACATATGAAATGTCTTTTTTTTTTTTTTCAAGTGTAGATTAGCTAGCTACCAGAAAGAAACCATAGTCTTGGCATGCTTGGCCAATCTGCTTGATAATCTTCGAGCGGCGAGGACCGTGCAAGCCTTCAAGGTCGATCAGAGGGATGAAGTCGGATGTTTCAACCTCAGAAAAATTCGAACGGTCAGAGACAGGACGGATGTAATTGGAAGGAATTTGTTTCACGCATAATGAAGCAAGATCACTTAGCAGTAACTTGGTCCCCATCATTCAATTTGTATGGGCTCTCAGTTGATGGTGAATTCATGAGGTTTGTGGATGTGTTTTATTTTTTTACCCTATTTATAGAAGACCAAAAGCCGTGGGACTAGTTGCACAGAGCTAAGAGTGACACAATGTTGCCTAGTGCATAGCAATCAAGCAATAAATTTCTCATTTTCTATATTTCTGTATTAAATTAGATAGTTGGGGTTGATTTTTTTATTTAAAAAACCTAAGTTTTGTTATTTTGTGGTTCACTTTCAATTATATATATTAATATTATGCATTCTCAGTTATATATTATTTATTTATTCGATATGAGATAGATTTTTGCAAATTCCAGTCCTTTGTAGTGAATTCTTTAAAGTATGTAAAATAATTTAAATTTTAAAATTTTTACTGATTTGTTGAATGTATAGCAGGTAATTTGTTTTAGATTTTAGATTTTATTTATTTAGATGTAAAATAGATTCTCTGATTTGGTTTATCAAAAAGAGAGAGAGAGAAAAAAAAAGTTGTCACTATTTTTTAATTTCTTAACGTGTCTTTTGCAAATACTGCTAGGAAGAGACATGCAATAATGTGGCTGGTAAGCCATTGTGGAAGTCTCAATTCTCATGTGATAATATGAATAAGAAAGAGACAATGTCTTGTTTATTGGGTAAATGCATGTTTTGCTGTGAAGTCTTTGCTCTCAAATTTTTAATGGATCCTGCTATCCCATAAGCCTACAGGTTTTTGTGGTTTTGACCGGTTCCATGGCACTGCACTATATATGACGGATCTGTCAATGAGACATAGATTACAAGCATGCATCCTTTGAACAAACAGGTAAAAAAAAAACCCTAAAAAATCTATTCTTCCTCAAAAATTATATTTTACATATTGTTTGGATTTTTCACTGATTCAAACATATTAGAAACACAAACTAAACGTACATTAAATTGGAGAGTTGGATCTAGAATTATAATCAATTACACATTGATTCTATATATAGTTTTATGCAAAAATCGAATTATGATATGTTTTGTTGACTTTTTCTATGGGAAACATTGATAAATATGTTGATTTTAGAATGACATTGATTGATTTTAATACTTTCCGCACCTAATTGAAATCAGAATGGTTGTAGATTTCAATTTCGATTTCGATTCTGAACAACAAAACACCACCTTTTTAAATTGGCCAATAAACATGACAATCAATATAAACATGGTAATAACTACAATAAAGATTATTCTATTGCATAAGTGATTTTTGAAAGATTAAAATTCAATACGTAGCCCTCATATTTGACATGTGTGACTATCAATTTTTATCACCAACAATCAATATAAAGAATATTTTTTAAAAAAAGAAAAACCAGGAAAGTGTTGCATTATATTAGAACACACATCTCATATTGAATAGTTAAATAAAAAATGATTAACATATAAGGTTGAGAATGGACCACCCACCGCGAAGCTTAAGTCTTTTGTATGGAAACTAATCTCAACTATCTAACTCTATATGATATCAAAGACTCAAAGAGGCTCAACGGCCAAAGAAAGATCCTAGAGTCCAAGCCACTTGACAAATCCCAAAAAAATAGACTATAAGTGAAGGAAAGTATTAAAGCATACATCCCACATTGAATAGTTAAACCAAAGATGATTACATATAAGGTTGAGAAGAGATCACCCATATGTGCTCTAATACATTATAGCTCCAAGTAGGCGAGTAAACCTTTTAAAGAGAAAATGATACAATTTTTCGTATGGGAAACCAAAGAAACCATGAAATACAATTAGGCAAACATATTAAATGATTAACATCAAAGATAAAGGACCAATATAATACATTTTAAAAAGTAATATAAATCATATTTTTAAATTTTAGATTAAATATGTAGATCAAAATAATTTTTTAATATAGTATTAGAGTCATGATAATTAAACATATTCGAATCTCATTATTCTATTCTCTTTTATTAAAACTAAATAATTAAACACGGGGTTGTAAGGATGGTAATGGGTTGGGTACTTGGCCCATTAAATCAATCACATACCCTACCTACTAAAAAATATTATACTCATTATCTATCAAAAATCATTTATCCATTTCTTTATCCAATCCTTGCCCGCCCATATATACCTTATCCATATGTATTTACTCGGTTATTTTTTTCCTAAATTGAAGACTTTTTTTCAAATTTTAATTTATAATAAAAGATATAATAAGTAACACAATTAATAAAAAAACATGATTGATAAATATTTAAAAATTAATAATTCATCAATCTAACTTATATAACTCGGTTAATATTTATTGTTCATGTACTTTATTTGGTTTTTGATGTATTTTTTAACTATAAAAAATATATAATCAGATTTGTAAAATCAAGGAACCAGTTTAAAGTTTAAACACCCAATATTTTTTTTAAAATCATTTTATTTGGTTTTGAAAAGTTTGACAACTGGTTGCTAGCTTTTTACATTTTTTAAAAAATAAAAATAGGAAAACCAATAACTTTTTACTAATAATTACTTTAATGTGTTTTTTTAGCACAAAATTACTTAGCCTCCAAGTGAAGCGGCTCTCCCTAATGCTCTCCCTAATTTAAAATATGTACTCTAAAAAAATATTGGACTGTTATAAGTATATAATATAATTTGATGAAGTCTCAATGATAATCATTTAGTAATCAATATTTTTCAATCTAATTTCAAGATAAAGGTTAATGTTTTTAGTGTATTCTTAAACATATATGGTCGAATAAAGCTATAAAGTGGCTCATGTCTAATCGAATCGAGGAAGCTTATTTATTTCTTATATCATTACCGAATTTCACTAAATAGCGATGGAAACTAGCCACGGACTTACATCTATCACTAAATAGAAAGCAAATAGCGATCGAATTGTGGTTGTTATAATTAGCAATGAAATAGCGATAGTTTATTAGCGACCAACACTAATTCATCATTAAATTTGAAATAAAATCTTTCCGAAAGGTTTAGTGATGGATTTGTCGGGAAAAATAGCAACAAAATGAAAAATTCATAACTATTTTCAAGTCACGATTAAGCGACAAATATTCCATCACTAAAGGACACATCCCTTATAATTTAACAATGGAAAAATCTGTTGCTAAATGTGAGAATTTGGGAAAAATTAGATGGATTTTTTGAAAGACAAAACTGTTCAATTTGCGATGGATTAGCAACGAAACTTACTTTCGTCGTTATGTGTGAAAAAATGGACAGCTAGCTATGAAAATTAGTCAACTTTTTTATATGGATTAACGATGAACTTAAGTGTCCGTCACTAGTATTACATCCGTCTTTATTGTCCAGCCATAATTTAGCCCCCATCTTCTTTCTCCTCCATCATTTTCTTCTCCCTTTCCTTCTCTAGTTGTTGGCACCGTTCTCCCACCCTCTAAACACCATCAAACTCTACCCCTCCACTCTCAATCGATCCACATCCACTTTAAGGTCTTTTCTTCATAAAAACCTCTTTTTTCTTCCTCCTCGTGGTGTAATTCCATCCGAATTAAGTATGTTTTTTTCTCAGCTTTATTTTCTTAATTAAAGTTAGTAATTTATTTTAATTGTTAGGTTAATTTAAGTTTAATTACTTGATTAATTATAATTGTGTATATATTTAATTATTATTTTGTTGATTTATTTGTTAAATTTTTAATTTTTTTAATTGTTAGATTAATTGGTTGATTAATTTGTTAAATTGCTAAATTTTGTTAATTATTAGGATAATTATTTATTTTACATGTAATTTAAATTTAATCGAACATATTTTTAATTATTTAAGTTAATTTTATCAAAATTTAGTTAATCAATTAGGTTAATTATGTTTAATTGGTTGAATTAGACTAAATTTGTTAATTAATTATAATTTTGTTAATTAATGATTAATTTTTTAATTAAGTTAATTTGATTTATATTTAATTAATTACTAAAATAATTAGTTTCATTACGTTTAAATATTTGAATTATAAGTTTATTTATATTAGAAACTCCTAATTAATTGTTACTTTAAATTTAATTTCATTAGAATTAAAATTAATTAAGTTAATTAGATTTATATTTAATTTGCTAATTAGGTTAATTGGGATTAATTGGTTGAACTAAAATTTTATTTTTTAAAAAATTGATGATAAATTTTTATTTTCAATTTAATTTGGCTAGATGTAGAATTAATTAAGATAATTAGATTTACATTTAATTAAATAGGTTATATTTTAATTGGTTAAATTAAAACTTTATTTATATTAGAAATTCTTAATTAATTTTTATTTTAAATTAAATTTGGTTAGAATTATAATCAATGAAGTTAATTAGATTTATATTTAATTAATTAATTAGGTTAATTTTGTTTAATTGGTTGAATTAAAAATTTATTTATATTAGAAATTATTAATTAGTTTATATTTTAAATTAAATTTGGTTAGAATTAGAATTAATTAAGTTAATTATATTTATATTTAATTAATTAATTAAGTAAATTTTGTTTAATTGGTTTGATTAAAACTTTATTTATATTAAAACATTGAAGCTTATTTTTTATTTTAAATTTAATTTAGTTAGAATTAGAATTAATTAAGTTAATTAGATTTATATTTAAATAACTAATTAGGTTAATTTTGATTAAATGGTTGGATTAAAAATTTATTTGTATTAAAACTTAGAAGTTTATTGTTATTTTAAATTTAATTTGATTAGAATTAAAATTAATTAATTTAATTATATTTTTATTTATTTAATTAATTAGGTTAATTTTGTTTAATTGGTTGAATTAAAAATTTATTTATATTGAAACTTGTCACTACTCGACGTCGACAGGACTCCCAAAAAATTAAATTGTAAAAGTATTAATTATTTATAAATTTATTTATAGAGTTTGGAGTCGCCACCTAGTATTAAAGGAACTAGAAACCTAAAATAACTACTAATTCGGAGATTCTATGACAAGGAGTTGGTTACATCTTTGGGAAGATACTTAATCACCCA